TAAGGTGCCACAAGTACTCCTGTTATTTTTAAAGCATTAAGTTAGAGAATGGCCAGCGGCCAAGCCTCGCATAATGCTCGGTGACTGTCTGGGTTTCTGGTTGACGCTCTGCGTGGCCCGTAAATCACAGAAAAATGTTGATGGGGCATCTCGCTTTGAGGCCATATGGCTTTTAAATACAAGGAGTTTGTGAGAACCCAGCTGTTGGGCCTTGGAGAACAGAGAGCAATTTACAGCAAAGAGCTGAAATGTGGGTATGGAATCCAGGGGCGGGCGGGTGAGGGGGACACACAAAAGGTGTTTAAAATAAAGGGGAAAAAGGCTCCTATAGTCAGTATGAATCAGGGATGTTTGGGACGTGCGTTTGAATACAATAGAGCTGACTCAACCCTCTTGAGCGGATTTGATTTAACCACCTCCTACTGAAATAGCTGGGGTGGTTCTGTTGCCTTCGGTGAGTCTGTAGACCTCAGTCAAGATGTCATTATGTCCACCAAGGTTAAACAGTAATGAGGTTTGCTGAGCGTTCACCCGCCGTCATCGGTGGGTGGGGATGGTGAGCTCTGATTAATGTATTCAATAAAATAAAACACTAGGGTTCAGGCTTTCTAGCAGCTCAAAGTCCTTAAAAGTTTAAAAATAAGAGAGCTTCAAAACCAAACAAGGGTCAGACCCCAAACCGAAAGGCTGGAAGGGTTCACCAACCTCCCCCGTACTTGGCTCAAATCAGAACGTGATGCACGAATGCTCAGACATTTACAAGCGACGCGGATTTGTAGGGTGTTTACTATGGTTGCGCCAGCTCCATTTTCATTTTGAAACAAACCTGAACTTCGAGCAGGAAAGAAGCACATTTAAAATGAAAAAAATACCCTAAGTCGTTCGTTCCCTGACATCTGCAAGGCCCCCCCGGCCGGACAGGGAACATGGACGCGCTAAGGAGCTTTGTGAGTGGTGTGAGAAGGCCCTGCAGTGTTCTGCTTTGTCACCGAAAAGAGGAAAATGTCTTTTCACTAGAAGTTAGCCCAAAGCATCCCAGTTGTGCAGACAATTTAATTTGTACCTGCAGATCACAAAAGGGAACGTTTGTAAATTCCTTGTGTAGCTCTGAATGCCGAGTTGTAGTGATCAAATCAGCCTGCTAGCTACAGACTTGGACGCTGGTTTGAAACGAAGAGTTAGGATGATATGAAAACCTGAGGGAGAGGGGGAGACGGTCTCCTTATAAGAGACGCTAGTTTGACCAGAATGGCTGCTGTGGGACTGCAAGACCAGCTATGTTGCTTGCTTTTTGAACTCTGGAAATGTGTATTCTATAATGTAGGGTGCCCAGACAGCTACTGTGAAAAAACGGGACAGGGGGTGGGGGGTAATAGGCGCCTATGTAAGAAAAAGTCCCAAGAAAAGGGACTGTCCCTTTGAAAACGGACATCTGGTCTTTGTCTGGGCCGTCCTTACTAATGATGAGAGATGTCTTTATTGCCCTGTGATCTGTTTAGCATGGAACAGGAGCAACTTCAAGCTGTTTCCCCAGGCCAGGTAAAACCCCATGTTACGTATAGTGGTGTTCAATATGTATTACCCAGGTTGTACAGGGGGTTGATGTATTTAGGGAATAATATTAACTACAATTTTGCTTGTTCTTTAACCCAAAGGCCCAAATACATATTAGGGAAAAGACAGAATCACTACGTGCCAGCCTCCCTTTACCTTGTGCTGGAAGGTAAATTTCTGCAATTGGCTTTTAATGTGTGGGGGCTTTAAAAAAATGGGTCTTTAAAAAGTAGTTTTTAAGGTTTAAATTGTTGTTTGTGATTTAGGGCATATGCAGGAGACAGGTGGGAGTTTCTTGAAAAGTATTTTGTTGCAAAGTGTTGGTTTGGAGTGTTTTAAAAATACTGGGGTTTTCACCCTGCAAAATATGTTTTGTGTCAGTGGATTAAAAACTTGGTTTAAATTGTTGTTGGTGATTTAGAGGCATATGCAGGAGACAGGTGGGGGGCTTTTTTTTTTTGAAAAGTATTTTGTTGCAAACTGTTGGTTTGGAGTGTTTAAAATATTGGGTTTTATACTCTCTGCAAATATGGGTTGCCAACCCTCCGGGAAGTAAAGATTAATCTTTAATTAAAAGATCATATGAAACCTCCAGGAATACATCCAACCCTATCTGCAAATCGTGGTGTGTGCGTGTTCGAATGGTTTTAAAGGTTGCTTTTGATCAGGGTGGAAAAAAATCAATGATTTTTTTAAAAAAAAATTAAAACCTGTTTTTTTTTAATTTAAATCAGATTTTTTGATGTTTTTTCCTCAAAAAGCATTTTATCTAAAGATCGTTTTAATTAAGATACATTATAGCTCAATGATATCTCATCATGGAATAGGGATTATAAATTCTAATTCTATGGTATCAGATAATATATTCATGTAATGTTTAAGAAAAGTTTGGTAAATGAGCTCCAATAGTTCATGGATTAGGGACCCAATCTTATAGGGTTCCACAGGCTTCTGTATACATTCTTTAGGTTAATCTTTCTATCTACCCAATGGGACTCAGTGCTCAGTCTAGAAGATACCATCAGAGATGCTTAGTTTTGCAGTTCTCAAACTGCGGATTTGTGTCTCCAGAGATAAGATGCTTGTTAACAGCAAAAATGTTTTTAAATAAATCAATCAATAAGATATAGAGGTGAGAAAATAACAGACCTCAACCCTATTGTCCCTCTGCACATTTGTGTACACGGAGTCAATCCCTGACCTCTCTCTAAAAGTGCAAAGTTTCAAAAAGTTCAATGAACAGAAGAATGTTGGGGGTAGAATAGATCTGGACAAGGACAAGAAGTCTGGAGATGCTTGTTTTGTTAAAATATTATGTTTGCTGTTGAAGAAAAGAATCCAGATACTTAACGTTGCTGTTTTAGTTAGAGAAAACAATTTAAATGTCTGTCTGGTGATGCTCTCCTCCTAATACAGCCTGGCAAGAAAATCCTCCAAATATTAATGATTAACCCGTTGAATTGGAGATAGTTCACCTCCCAATGACTTCATATATATCTGCTTCAATTACCTGTGGTAAATGAAATAACCAAACAATCATTCATTTTCTGATATAGCTGTAAAACTCATCTGAAAAGTTTTCAAAATAAATCATTGTTTAAAAATGTATAGTGTGTACCTTCTAAAAATGAAACCTACCTCTATCTCGGAGTTGTGAAGAACAACAACTAACAAGAATGCACTTTTATGTAGAAATCCATGGTTAAATCAAGTCTTCCTGACTAGTGACTTAAATCATGATTTAAATCAATTCGATTTAAATCAAATCCACCCTGCGTTTGATGCTTCAATTGTTTGTGGGTTTTAAAAGTATTTTGTTGCAAACTGTTGGTTTGGTTTTGAGTGTTTAAAATCCCGGGATTTTTACTCTGTGCATAATGTGGGCTTTTGTGTGTCTGTTTAAAATGGTTAAAGTTGTTTGTGATTTAGGGGCATATCCAGGCAACAGGTGTGGGTTTCTTGAAAAGTACTTGCTGCAAAGTGGCTTTGAGCATTTAAACCACTGGGGTTTTTACTCTGTGCAAAAACCGTTTTAAAAAGTTGCTTTTGATGCTTAAATTGTTGCTGGGTCTGATTTCGGGGCATCTGCAGGAGAAAGGGGTGGCGTTCTTTACAAGTATTTTGTGGCAAACTGGTTGGTTGGTTTTGAGTGCTTTAAAATACTCACCCTACGAGGGAGAATGAAGGGAAATCCGATTGCCCTCTCCACATGCGTCGGGGGGGACGCCAGGCAGGGAGAAGAGGTGGAGAAGCTACAGGACAATGTTGGCACAGGAGCTGGCCACGACTCAAGAGGCTTCTCACCATCCCAGCCGAGAGGTTTTGCAGCAGCGGGGTGCGAACCGGCGAACTAGCGGGAAGGTGGCGTTTGGGAAGTGGCCTGCGCTGCCTGGGGGCTGGGCTAGGAGGCTCCTTCCAGCTCCATGTCTTTGGCTGAAGCTTTCCCAGCCTCACCCCCCCGGCATCGATGTTTAGTCAAACTGGAAAAACCTCCCTGCTGTAAGCGGGGAGCGGCCCGACGGGAGGAGGGACAAACGGTGACCCTGCTGCAGCTTTTGTGCCCCAGGACCCTGAATCCCTTGTTCTCCCAGCCCTCCCTGGGGAGGGCGTGGAGGGAAGCCAAACCACAGTTGCACAAGCGGGTTGTGCAAGAGGCAGCGATGCCAGGGCCCGGCTGGCCGGGTATATAGCGGGCTGGAGCGCGGAGAAGGGCAGAGGAGCGCAAGAGGCTCCCAGCCCGCCATGGATCTCCTGGGAGCCGTCACCCTGTTCCTGGCCATCGGCCTGTCTTGCCTCGTGCTCCTCTCCACCTGGCGGCAAATGCAGGGCCGGGGGCAAATGCCCCCGGGGCCCACCCCGCTGCCCCTCCTCGGGAACCTGCTGCAGGTCGAGCTCTGCGACATGCGCAAGTCGCTGATGAAGGTAGGTGGCCCCGTCCCGGGGAGCCCCACAGATAGTGGTGCCAACCCTCCAGGAATTCAAGATTCATCTTTCATCAAAGATGATTTCATGTGATGACATCGCTAGCAATGCGTCCGACCAAAATTGGCAACCCTGCCGCAGAGCCTCCGACCTGCTTGGTCTTGGGGAGGGGGAGCTGTGCTGGGGAGAGGCGCAGGGGGTAGTCGGGGGGCAGAGGTGGGGCATGGAGGGATGGAGGAGGGGCAGGCTAGGTGGGGTGGAGTGGGGTGGGACAGGGTTTGCTGTGTGGGGGAGAGGGGCAAGGGTTGGGGGTGTGGGCGGGGGGGTCATGGGGTGGGGGAGTGTGGGAAGGGAAAGGTGGTGGGCTGGGACGGGGGAGCAGAAGGGGGGGATGGTGGGTGGATGGTGCGGATGGGGAGGGGTTGGTTGATGGGAGGGGGAGAGGTGAGGGCTGGGGGTGCTCTGTGGGGGGGCAAGGAGGGGCAGGGCCCATGTCTCTGTGTGTCCCTGATGCTCCATCCCCGCGTTTCACGACGTCTCCGTCTCCGTGGCAGATCAGCGAGCGCTACGGCCCCGTCTACACCCTCCACCTGGGCCCCCGGCGGGTGGTGGTGCTGTGCGGTTACCGGGCGGTGACGGAGGCCCTGGTGGACCAGGCCGAGGACTTCGGCGGGCGCGGGAAACAAGCCACCTTCGACTGGCTCTTCCATGGCTATGGTCAGTGGCGTCCATGGGAGGGGAGCGAGCCGGGGGGCGCAGAGGGGGCAGGTCCCGGCCGGGGCTGCGGCTGGTGAAAATCCACTTAGTCCCGACCTGCTCCAGCTGGAGACGTGCCCAAATCTTGGGGCAGAGTGGAGCAGGGGGCGGGTGGGGCCGTTCCAGCAATCCCAGAAATAGTCGTTGTCTTTATGTAACCACCGATCGACGCAGGGCCAGAGACAGATCCACCGCTCAGCTGTGCCAGGCTACGCAAGGGGAACGTCTCAGTGGGTCCAAAGTCAATTTTTTTTAGGGCAAAAGCTCTCCTTTAGAAGGGGGCGGAAAGCCAGTAAAATCCCCTCCCCTTCTACATTTCATTCGGTGTCGTTTCCATTTGTTTGCGGTGAAAACCTCCTTGAAGTTAAGAAACGAGGGGATAAAAAATGAAAATGTGGAGACCTCAAAGACACGTGAACGTGCAGGAGGGGCAGACAAGGAACACGGGGTTTCCAGGGAATTCTGCTCCATCAGAAGGGAAATCGTGTCTTTCTAATCTATTAGAGTTCTTTGAAGGGGTCAACAAACGTGTGGACAAGGGGGATCCAGTGGACATAGTGTACTTAGATTTCCAGATAGCCTTTGACAAGGTCCCTCACCAAAGGCTCTTACCTAAATTAAGCTGTCATGGGATAAAAGGGAAGGTCCTTTCATGGATTGAGAACTGGTTAAAAGACCGGGAACAAAGGGTAGGAATAAATGGTAAATTTCAGACTGGAGAGGGGTAACTAGTGGTGTTCCCCAAGGGTCAGTCCTAGGACCAATCCTATTCAACTTATTCATAAATGATCTGGAGAAAGGGGTAAACAGTGAGGTGACAAAGTTTGCAGCTGATACTAAACTGCTCAAAATAGTTAAGACCAAAGCAGACTGTGAAGAACTTCAAAAAGATCTCACAAAACTAAGTGATTGGGCAACAAAATGGCAAATGAAATTTAATGTGGATAAATGTAAAGTAATGCACACTGGAAAAAATAACCCCAACTATACATACAATATGATGGGGGCTAATTTAGCTACAACGAATCAGGAAAGAGATCTTGGAGTCATCGTGGATAGTTCTCTGAAGATGTCTATGCAGTGTGCAGCGGCGGTCAAAAAAGCAAACAGGATGTTAGGAATCATTAAAAAAGGGATAGAGAATAAGACGGAGAATATCTTACTGCCCTTCTATAAATCCATGGTACGCCCACATCTCGAATACTGCGTACAGATGTGGTCTCCTCATCTCAAAAAAAGATATACTGGCACTCGAAAAGGTTCAGAGAAGGGCAACGAAAATGATTAGGGGTTTAGAACGGGTCCCATATGAGGAGAGATTAAAGAGGTTAGGACTCTTCAGCTTGGAAAAGAGGAGACTAAGGGGGGATATGATAGAGGTATATAAAATCATGAGTGATGTGGAGAAAGTGGATAAGGAAAAGTTATTTACTTGTTCCCATAATACAAGAACTAGGGGCCACCAAATGAAATTAACAGGCAGCAGGTTTAAAACAAATCAAAGGAAGTTCTTCTTCACACGGCGCACAGTCAACCTGTGGAACTCCTTGCCTGAGGAGGTTGTGAAGGCTAGGACCATAACAGGGTTTAAAAGAGAACTAGATAAATTCATGGTGGTTAAGTCCTTTAATGGCTATTAGCCAGGATGGGTAAGGAATGGTGTCCCTAGCCTCTGTTTTTCGGGGGGTGGAGATGGATGGCAGGAGAGAGATCCCCCCCCACACACACACACACACATTTTTCAGGGCACGAACTGGCTCTCGGTGTTATATGTTTGTTCAGCATCTAATGCCGTCGGATCCCGGCCGCCGGCTGCCCCCACGATACAGGGAATAAAATAAATCCGCAGCCCAGCTCAGGGCAGGACCAGCCTGCGGAAAGGGTTCTCGTTAGCGTCCCCTAGTGGTTGATTGCGTTGTGCCGCGGTTTGAAGTACACCACCCGGGCCCCCTGCCTCACGGTCTTGTTCCTTGCTCCCCCCCCCCCCCCAGGAGTGGCCTTCAGCAACGGGGAGCGGGCGAAGCAGCTGCGCCGGTTCTCCATCACCACGCTGAGGAACTTCGGGGTGGGGAAGCGAAGCATCGAGGAGCGGATCCTGGAGGAGGCTCATTTCCTGTTGGAAGCCTTGCGGGGCACGAAAGGTTTGTCGGTGCTGGGGCCAGGGAGTCAGGGCCAGACCCCCAGCTGGCGGGAACCGCCCAGAGCTCCATTGGGGTCAATGGGGCCAGACCCCCAGCTGGCGGGAACCGCCCAGAGCTCCATTGGGGTCAATGGGGCCAGACCCCCAGCTGGCAGGAACCGCCCAGAGCTCCATTGGGGTCAATGGGGCCAGACCCCCAGCTGGCGGGAACCGCCCAGAGCTCCATTGGGGTCAATGGGGCCAGACCCCCAGCTGGCGGGAACCGCCCAGAGCTCCATTGGGGTCAATGGGGCCAGACCCCCAGCTGGTGTGAACCGCCCAGAGCTCCATTGGGGTCAATGAGGCCAGACCCCCAGCTGGTGCGAACCGCCCAGAGCTCCGTTACAGTCAATGGGGCCTGACCGCTAGCTGGTGTGAATTGTCATCACTCCGTTGACCTCGACCCCAGTTTACCCCAGCTGAGGTTCTGACCTGCGCACCTTTGTAAAGATGGTCAGTGTCATAACGCCCATTGCGCAGGTGGGGAAACTGAGTCACGGACTAGGGCCATGCTCACCCCGCAGGCCAGCGAGTGGGGTTCTAGCCTGGGAGGCGTGGGCCCAAACCCCTGCTCTGCCTGATTACTTGTGTGACCAGGACGCCACCATAGGATGTACTGTGTAGCCTGTGTATCTGAGGTGTCAGGACATGCGTGTCTGGCAGGGAAGGGGAACTGCCAGGCAAATAGCTGGGCCAGCGTTTCGAGCAGATAAACAGACAGCTGGGCCAGCAAACGAATCTCCGTGCTAGGCAGAAAAAGCGTTTGTCAATATCGGAGGAAGAACTTTGGACCTGCGGATTTAAGGCTTGCGTGTGGCTGTGCTGACACTCCCGTAAACCACACGCTGCTTGGGGCCCGTCTGGGAGCCGCTGCGTTCCCGGTGACGGGCTCAGACAGCGGCAGAGCCGGGGAGAGAACCGGCGGCTCCCGGGGGCTGGGCTAGTTCTCCCCCACGCCACCTCTGCACGGCCCTGCGGGGCCGACCCGCCAGGTCCAGTTCTGCCAGGTGTAAGGGTCACCGTCGGCCCCCACTGACGCTCAGTGCGTTTTATGGTGGCCCTCTCCCGGTACCAAAAGAAAGGGGTAGGTCCAATGAGAAATAAAGATCCTGAGACTGACAGTCCCCCAGGCCAATGGGGAGAGGCCACTGCTCAAGGTCAGCCCGATTGACAGGGCAGGCTGGCCAATGAGGGAGTTAAGAGCCCGGGGGGGGGTCCATCCTCCATGTGAGCCGGAGCTGTCTGAAGCAGAGGAGGGCAGAGTTAAGGGGAAAGCAGTTGGGCTGGAGGCAGCGCTGGGGAGCTGGAGCAGCCGCACTGCGGGGGAGCCGGGGCCGAGCTGCAAGGGGAGCCACGGGGCCAGAGCCGGGCTAGGAGGCACCGGCCGGGCCACACGTAACCCTGCAGCCAAGCATGGCGAGCGGCTGGGGAGAGCCAGTGGGGCCCCAGGCAGGGAGATGTCGCCAGACCAGAGATCTTGCAGGCTGGACTCAGAGGGGGGCCGTGACCCAAATGCGGGGGCGACGCTGGGGACAAGAGTCCTGCCACCCGGTGTGTGAGTGGGTGGGCACCGCCAGAGCAGGGGTCCGACCCGGGGCCACCACAGCAGAGCCAGGGCCTGGGACAGGTGAGGAAAAGGCGGTGAACTGGTCTCCCATCCCAGAGCCGGCCGGGTGCAATGTCCCCGTGCCCATGGGACGGGGTCCTTGTTCCCTACCTCTCCCATTGCACCTGAGGTCTTACAGGTGTTTAATACGGTTTGTATTTGGTTTGAATGTAATGCTGGGATCCGTGGGTCGGGGAAGCGGCCGGTGCGGAGCGAGGACCCCGCCGTGGGGACACCCTGGCCCCTCTCCGAAGTGACCCCGATGAGAGTCAGGGTGCAGCCCGCCAGAATCCGGGGCCCAGCCCTGTCGGGGTTACAAGGACTCTGCTGCGTGGGAGGGTGAAGGAAGTGGGAGCGAGGACTCGGATCCTGTGGCCAGTCCGTGTGCCAGAAAAGTTCCCGCCGTAGCAGGAGCGTTCCCCTGCTGACACACGTGAAGACGGCAGGTGGCGGGACAGGAGTGACTCGGGGGGGCTGTGGGATCCATGGAGGGGAGACGGTCCGAGGCACAACCCCCCGGCTCGCCTGTGCCCCACCCAATGCTGGTTTTACCCCCTTAGGTTTGCCCTTTGACCCCACCTACTTCCTGAGCCGCACGGTGTCCAACATCATCAGCTCCGTGGTCTTCGGGGACCGGTTCGACTACGAGGACAAGGAGTTCATTTCCCTGCTCCACATGATCAATGAGAGCTTCCGCTTCACCGCCACGGCCTGGGGGCAGGTACACTGGGGGGGGGCGCCCCAGGCCACGTCCCACGGCTCCGAGACCTGCCTGCCCCGGGCTGCAGGGATCGGGGGGAGCGCTGGTTAGCTAGGGGAGCGGAGGGGGATGCGAGAACGTCGGGAGGGCAGCGAAGAGGAAAACCTGGGACCTGCAGTGATGGGCATGAAATAGATACAGGGGAATGTCGGGGGATGGACAGTGTGAATGGGGAGAGATGGACAGACAGAGGGGTGTGTCCGGGGATGGATAGATCAGCTCTCAACCCACCCCGTGTTCAGTGGGGTCTCTGCTCTCCCTGCCCCCCAGCTCTACGAGATGTTCTCGGACACCATGCGCTACCTGCCCGGCCCCCAGCGTGCAGCGTTCAAGCACCTGGCGGGGCTGGAGAAGTTCATCGAGAGGAAGGTGAAGGCGAACCAGGAGACCCTGGACCCCAACGCCCCTCGGGATTTCATCGACTGCTTCCTGGTCAAAATGCAGCAGGTACCGGCCGTAGCCGGAGGGGACAGCTCAGTGTGGTCAGTATCAGGCCTGAGAGACCAAACGGCCTGATTGTAACCAGGGGTTCAACTGGTAACGGGGTCAGTTCAGGCCTCAAACCTTCTGGGGCAGAGAAATCGAGCCCCACACATAGCGAAGAACAACGGGCTTTGAGGAAAGCACTGGGCTGGAACTCAGGAGATCAGGGCTCTGCCACTGACCCCCCATGTGGCCTTAGTCAAATCATGGCATTGTGTTGTACCTCAGTTTCCCCACCTATACAATGGGGATGGAGAGCCATCCTCTGAGACTGTGAGCTCCTTGGAGCAGGGATTGTCTTTTGCTCCATTTTTGTGCAGCACCCTGCCCGGGGGGGCCCTGCTCCCCGCTGGCGGCTGTGAGTGCAGGGAATCTGATCCCCAGAGTTCTCTCAAATGTCCCTTTCTTCCCCTGTGGTCTGTTAAAGGAAAAGGAAAATCCTTCCTCGGAGTTTTTCCTGAAGAACATTGTTCTGACGGCGCTCTCCGTCTTCTTCGCCGGGACGGAGACCGTCAGCACCACCCTGCGCTACGGCTTCCTGCTCCTGCTGAAATACCCGGAGATCGAAGGTAACGGGAAAGGGAGGACAAAGGAAACGCAAAGGGCCGGATCCTCAGCTGGGGTAAATCAGCCGGACTCTGCTGAGGGCAGCGGCGGTTCCTCCCTTTACACCAGCTCCAGATGGGGCCGGACAGTCACAGCTCGGCAGCGAGTTTGTGTCCTGTCTGTGTCGCTCCGTCGTGAGTCAAAGGAAGCCGATGGTCAGGGAACGCCGGGTCAGCCGGGCCAGTGTGGCTATGGCAACTGAATGCCAGGGGTTGTATTCTGACCTCTATTCACCCCAGGTCAATCCAAAGTTAACCACTGACTGCAATGGGACAGGGCCGGATCCTGATCTCAGCTCCCCGGGATGACTCCAGAGTCACTCCCTTCTGCAATGGGGACAGGGCCGGATCCTGA